TATATAATATGATGCAAAAATAGAAAAATAACCAACACATATATTAAAACCAACAATATAACAATCTAAAATTTATGGCAGTCATCATAAAAAGACATAAATTCCTAACCAACAAAAGGATTAAATAGCCATCAAAACAAAGAAACAATGTAAAAAAATAGCAAAACACGAAGGGAGAAGATGCAGAATTGCACGTAGAGGGAGAAGGAGTGGAGCAGAATCACATGCGGAGGGAGAAGGAGAGAATCGTGCGCAGAGGGAGAAGAAGTAGAGCATAATCGCGTGCAGAGGGAGAAGAAGCGGAGCAAAATCGTGTGCGCGGTGGTGGTCGCGTTGAAGGCGGGCGGCAAAGGTAGAACTCGTCGGAGGAGGCACGCTGTTGATGTTGCACAGAGGAGACAATGTTTCAGAACTTTAGGGTTAGGGTTTCGCTGCGAACCTATTCAAGAAAATGGAAAAAATGGAATGACCAAACCCAAAAAAAAAACCTGGGCCCAAACCTGAAAAAATGGAAGAAAAAAAACCCAAAACAGGCGCCATGACTACCATGACCACTGTAAATCGTCATGGCGTTACCGCCATATGCAAAATGGCCATAATGGCTGGCGCCATACCACTATAGCGTTGTTATGGCGCTGCCATAACCGCCATTTGACAACACTGTCCTAAATAGAGGACTTATTTAAAGAAAGCCATAACTAACTAATTGTTACTAAAAACCTAACTAATAGGTCAAAGGATAAAATAGGTTTAATTCCTATTTGTACCCCTCTTCCTATAATACACTTTTAACATTCTATTTGTATCCTGTGCTTCCTGATGTCTAACCGTAGCATTGAGTCATTGACTATTATTATCTATGATTAGAAGTTTTGTTATCTCTCATTGTATGAGGCCCTTTCCAGTGAGCTAAAAGCTATATTTGATGGGGAGGGTGGTGCAACTTTATTTCCTTAAAAATTTCAGAACTGCATTTCATGTCATGGGACTGATGTTAAACCCGAACCCATAGGGAGATGTTGACCAAATAAGGCCAACATCTTTGTGTATGTTAAATGCAAGGTAATCGTGAATCTTGACACTAATATTAGCTCTATGCTAATGACTTTGGCTCTATGCTGATGCTAATGTTTTCCACTGGATCTTTATTTGGAACTAATACTACTTTCATTATCATTTTTAATTTTTCCTTGTAATTTTTGTACCTATGAGGACCATTGTTGTTTAGCCTTAGTCTCGCTGTTGGGCTCATTAGTCATGTTTACAAAAGGGGAACTAACTGGATGGTTAAGTGGCAGTAAAAGAGTGGGGAGGGTTATGCGAGGATCATGCAGTGGGACCCAAAGGGGGATAGAGAAAATGGTTATATAATTATATATGGAGGAAGGGTGACCAAATGAAGAGGGAATTGTTATGAGATGTTCGGGTGGTGATTTTGAGGATAAGCTGGCCCTTCTCATCAACTGGGTGTTGCTTTCTTGTTTACTTGCTTAGTTGCTACTCCATATTTTGTAAGTAGATTATCTCCCTCCTTAGTCTTTTTCACCTGATCAGACATAAATGTCAGTACTAGTTCAACTGTTTCTCTTATTTGATACCTTAGTTCCTAACGCTTCAATATTTAAATAGAAAGGGGAGGATCCGGGAAGGGGGATTGTGATTGATTGCTTATCAAATTTAACAAAAGAGTTACATTCTTTGATTCCTAAAATGCATTGATTAGCTATGAAGCACCGACTTTGGCATTAGCAAGACTAAAGTATAAAACATGAAACACTTGGAAATGATATATATATATATATATATATATAATACATAAAAATTATTAAATTGATCAACATTTGGTAATTAAGAGGTATCATTATTATCGAAAAGAAAATTCTACAATACTAAAACATTGTCGCTTAAAAAATATTAGCAATCAATTTGTTAAGATCATTAATATAGAGTCACAAAAGAATAATAAGAATCCTTATTGAAAAGATAAATGTAAAACTTAAAAAAGCAAAATAGGGAATTTATTTATGAAGATTATGTTTCTAATTTTAATGAGATTGGTAAAAAAAATGTGATCATACCTTTCTCTGGCCATTTAAGGTGTGTTTGAGTCATGTTGAGGCCTAGAAAAAAAAAATAGACATTGCAAAAATGTGTGACATGTATGTTTAGTTAGATTTATTTCATTCTATAACTTATGTTCTATATCAAATTTTAATGATCCAATTATTGAATTAAAAGTTTTGAATGCATAAATTAAGTCTAAATTTTTTTAAAAAAATTGAAAAATATTTGATACTTCATTTCATTAATTCAAATCAATATATAAATGTCACACACACACACACTTAAGGATAACATGATTGTGCTTGAAAAATGAATGAGAAGGTGAGATAGGTAGCATGATTGTGCTTATGGATAGAACGGCTCTAATGAAAAACAAAGCAAAGTTGAGAAAAGTCAAGTATGATCGTGCTTAATGGCTATAGGACTATGCTTGTCTCTGCTCTACTTAGCATGACCATGCCAAAGGTTAACATAGTCACACATGCTTAAGGGTAACATGATTGTGCTTGAAAAAGGAATAAGAAGGTGAGATAGGTATCATAATTGTGCTTATGGATATAACTACCCTAATAAAAAACAAAGTAATGTTGAAAAAAGTCCAGTATAACTATGTTTGGTGGTAGCACATAGCAAAGTGCTTAGTAGGTTGAAAAGTTAAAGCAAAGTGCTTAGCAAGTTGAAAAGTCCGAGTGAGAATGCTTAACCAATTAAGATGTGAATATAGTTGAAAGTTAAGTATGATAATTGAAATTGTTTGAAACACGTGATAATATGGCATATATTAGTGTGGATTTTGATGCTATAGAGGTCCCCTAGTGGTCAATTGATCTAGATCTTTGGGGTCAACTTAGTTTGGGAATTCCCATCACACTCTATGATGAGTATGAGTGGATCTAGCACGATTATGTGACCCTAACATGCCCTAGTGGATCTTCCCATCGGTGAAAGTGTTTGGTGGCAAGCACCTTTGGCCAAGTGGTCTATATTCACTAGCATGTGCTATTGGGCTATGATATGAGATTTCAATTGACAATTGTTTTTGAATAGTGTCATATGCATAATGCATTAGACCATGAGACATTGTACCCTACCAAGGTTATCGAATAACCGTTATAACAGTATGACAGTGCGATTTCGGGCCTCATTGCCATTCGCCATTTGAAAAATGGCATTCTGTGGCGCCGTCCACCATTTCCGCCGTGGCGGCCGCCATGGCCGTTTTGAGCCGTTCTGCTATGAAGGTGATGGCGGACGTAACAGTGTCTAGGCTAGTTTTGGGCTTCGACCTAGGCCCAATAAGCATGCCCTAATGGTTTTAGGGTTCATTAATAAGAAGGCACGACAGGCACCACCACTCGCCCAACTCATCTACCTTCTTCCACCCGTCTCCATTGACGTTCCTCCGCCATCGCCCACCACTCGCCGACCACCTCTCCGATCGACGACCTGAACCGCGATGGTCCACAACTCTAACGACCTGAACCACGACATGCGCGTGAACAAGAAGAAGGTTGTTCGAAACCTCCTTTGATCACCGTTCACCGTCGCCCACCACCCTTTGGTCACGTTTCTGGTCGGCGACCTGAATCGTGGTGGTCTAGCGCTCCAGCGAGCAACTCAGGCGAGCAACTCCAGCAACTTAAAACCTGAAAGTTTTTTTTTCCTCTGCAGTTTTAATCCTCCTTCTTCCTTTATTTTTTCCTACTCCTCTAAGTCATTTTTAATATTTAATGAGTTTGTTGCTGCATCTGCAACATCAATTTTTTTGAATCTTAATTCATCTACTAATTGTTTCAATTTAAATTTCTATTCTTTTATTATTGTTCTTATTTTTATTTTTAGGACAATGTCTAGCAATCCTCAAACTCAAAGTCAAACATCCTCAAATTCTGATAAAATGCTTCTTGTACTCTTGTTTTTCTATTTTTTTTGTTGTGTTTTAATCAATTATGTTATGAGACTTAATGAATTATGGTATTGTTGTTATGATATTTAAGTATTTAAGTTGATATTATGTTAGTTTTAATTTAGATTTGTTGCTTGTTATTTATTGTTTTGCTATTTTCTTTGTATATAATATATATAAATATTTTTATTATTTTTTTTTTTGTCCGCCATGATGTCTGCCATAGGCTGCCATGGCATCTGCCATAGAGTTATAAAGGATTTTTGGCCTCACTGCCATAGACCGTTATCCGCCATCGATAATCTTGTACCCTACATGTAATGTAAATTATTTTGATGTGTTTGGAATAAACTATCATTGTTATTATTATGTTTGTATTTTGACTGTCCAACCTATCTCATATTGGGAACACGAGTGAGATCCCTTTTCTTGTTTTCCTTGTTTCTATTTGGATTGAATGTGAATTTCATGTGAGGATCAACCGAATGTTGGGATTGGTAGGTTTAGACCTCCTAGGTTGTAGTTGGGTATCATACTATGATAGAATTTAATATAGAGGTTTGGAATAGTTTTACATGTTTGGTTGATTTATGTTTTTATATTATATATAGCTTAGTAGTTTATTTCATAAACTTTGAGTGAGTTTTTGGAATGCCAAGTGCATGTTTTAGTTAATTGTTATTAGTTTTATCATTACAGAGTTTAAGTTTTATTTAAAACATTTGACTAGAGTTTGAATGTGAATCATTTATCTTTGTGAAAAATATTTATAATTTATATTTAAAAATTTGTTATTGTATTTTTAAGTTAAATTATGTTTTTTTATTAATTAAAAAGTTATATAAGGGATAGAAGTTGTTATAGATTGACTTAGTCTTATTAAATTGCCAAGTTGGAACAAATTGATCCAATTATTTTTTGGGAAACCTTTCTTAAGAGTTTGACCCAACCCATTGAGTCATGTCATTTTTGACACTTCTAAAAGAATGACATGCAATATAATGATGTGATGCTTCTTTCATCACATTATCATTTAATGAATCTTTTCTAACAAAGACCAAAAATTCAAAATAAAAATATTATAGAAATTAAAATGATTTAATAAATTTTTAATTTAAAAATTAAATTATGTATATTATAGTGATTAAAAAGATATTTAAATTTTGAAAAAATAAATTAATTTGACACAAAAATATTTATAGAGGTTTATATTGTGAAAAAAAAAATAATTTGACATGAAAAGTCACGTGTTAATGTATCCTATGATGTAACGAGAAAAGTAAAATTCCTTAGAAAAATATTTTATGATTTTATTGATTAATTTAATACAATTTTAGAATTACCAAACTATCATGGTTCATGTATCTTAAATATAACAAATGATTAATATTTTGCGACCACTAAATTAATCACTTCATTTAAATATATTAATTTTAAAAAATTTATTCTTAACAATTAGATTGTGTAACACCCCAATTTTCATAAATTATATTAAGGTATTCTAGAAATTATTTTGATATTTTGTATAAATATTGTAGTCACCTAATTTCGTCAAGGGCATGCAAACAAAGAAATGAACTTCTATTATCAAAGAAAGGAGCTCCCAAAGCCTGGGAAAGCAACATGATATGACATCAGAGGGCTCAAAGCCCAATAAAGGTGATTTAGTAGCCTAAAACGGACTGTTTCAAACTACTAAAAAGGCTTATAAACCCTAGATTGAAACGGGCCGTTCCAACACATGTTATGAGTAAAATTTGAATCCAGAACGGGCCGTTCCACTTTGGGAGCGGGACGTTCCAGATTCACATTTTACCCATAACGGAATTGCCCAGAACGGTAAATAGCATACGTAGGCACTACCAAAAGCATTTTTTTTACACTTCTGACT